GGCGGAGGGCGGGGGGGGTTGGAGTGCGGGGAGGAAAGGAGGAAGGTCTCCGGGCTGGGTGGTGGTGGTGGTGGAGGAGTCTGAGGCGACCGCTGTTCGCGGTGCTGAATCTCGCTCTCTCCAAAGCACGCCATTTGCGTCCAGCCCCAGGGAGGCCCCCAGGTCATCCACCGCCGGCCGGATCCCCGGGATAATAGCACTGGTTTCCACAAACCCGAGCTTCCCTCACGTCCGGAGCCCCGCCAGAAAGATTCAGGCTGGAAATAGAAATAGTTTTCTTTCCAGCCATCAGTGAGACCAGGGTCAGGCAGTTCCTCATCACATTTTCTGCATTTTTAGCTGCGTTCCAGGCCAAAGCTGGTTTCCATCGGGTCAGCGTGTGAGATGGAAAGATTCTCAAGGAAGTTTCTTAGGAGCCTCTTCTCCTTCGCGTTTAACTGCTCACTCCCCAAGTTTTCTTCCTTCGGACATACCATTTTAGCTCAGGCCAAATGCAGTCTCTCTGGGCTCTGGGCTTTTTTGGGGGGGTGGGGGTCTCCTCTCTGAGTATACTTCGTGCAGGGCTATCCCGGCTCAATATGGGCTGAGGGGAATCCTAGTCTGTCTCCAAAGCCAATACAAGGGTCCAGGTCAAAAGTTGCTGCCTGTCCCATGCTTTGCTCGCTGGTTCAGAGAGGGAGGCAGCGGTGCCCGCGGACCTCAGCAGCGGGAGGATCAGGGGAGGGATGCTTGGAGCTCTCTAGGTGGCCGGGGTCAGCCCGGCGCCCTCAGACTCAGAAGGCACCCCTGGGCCCACTGCTGCAGGCGCTCCTATGGCCCAGGCAACCCAAGCCTGAGGGCCCCTCTTCTAACTCCCTAGGAAAGGAAAACCCATTTTCAGAGGGGCAGCTCAAAAGCCTTCAACAAGAGGATTAGGATCTTCTGTCTGTCTCCCTCCTCCTCTATCTAGGTGCCCCTCAGCTGCCGATCTTATCGTCTTTAAACTGTCTTTCCCAGCTCCCTCCTCTTTCTCCCATCTGTCTTCATACCGTCTCCTAGTATCAAGCTATTTATCTGTTATCTGCCTGTTTCATCTTTATCTCTGTGGATCGAATTGAAACAAGTTGACCCTCCTTGTTGAAGTCTCTTGTAACATTTAGGAGCAAAAACACGGTCTTAACTCCCCAGCGTAGGGACCAGGAAGACAAGCCTCGCTTCCCCCTGAAGAGCTCTCAGGCGGGCTGGGGAGGTGGCCTGGGGTGAGATGGTGGTGGAGGGCGCCACGGTTCTGCGAAATGACGACGTCTTCTCGGTTTCCCGAAATGGGCAAGTGTGCCCTGCCCGCATGCAGTGAAGGGACTGCTCCGAGCCGAGCGCATCCTCCTCCCCAAGCTGAGGGTCTGTTGTCCCCGCGGGGTTTTCCTGAATGGAAGGAGGGGCCCCAGGCCCCGGGACCAGGAGAAGGAGGGCCCTAGGAAAGGAACCGAATTTCGGGGGCCAGAGCAGAAAGCCAGGGTAAAGGGTTGTACGCAGTGACGAGGAGCAGCGGCTAGGGCGGCTCGGGGAACCCTCGCCGGCTCCGGGAGCTTGAGGGGTGAGCTAGGAGTGGGCGACGAGGTGGGAGGAGGGCGCGGTGGGAGTGAGGCGACGGATTCCTTAGGTATAATAATAAAAACAGCCGCTAGAACCCAAATGGGAACTAAACGAAAGAAGCTGTAGGGTCAGGGAGAGG